GGCACTGCTGCTGCGGCCACCTCGGCATCTGGGCGCTCGTCGTCCCCTCCTCCGAGCGCGGCAAGCAGCACGGCCGGCGCGGCGCCGGCGTCCCACGGGCGCGCGTCGATGCCACTTCGAGAGACGAACCCGCGTCCAAAACACGAAACTCGCGCTCCCCAGGCGCCTCGCGGCCGCGGTCCGCGTCCACGCGGCCTGCCACGGCGCGTCCCGCGTCCTCGTCCTCGTCGCCAACCCCGCGGAGCACCAGTGCCTCTTCGAGGAGAAGCTCGGCTTCGCGCCGGGCGGCGCGCGCGGCGACCGCCACGTGCCGTCCCTGCCGGGCTTCTGGGTCGGCGCGGCGCCCCCGGCGCGGCGCCTGTCCTAGCCTCGCTGCCAGCTCGCTCGGTTCGCCTCGGTATCCCTCTACACCCCCCTGGATAAGCACCACCTGTCCTAGGGGGCCTTAGGCGGCGGGTCCTCGGCGAGCGCGGCCGCCCAGAGGCGCGCGTACTCGCCGTTCTCGTCGCGGAGCAAGGCCGCGTGCGTGCCCTGCTGGACGACGCGGCCGCGGCTGAAGACGACGACGTGGTCCGCTCTGGGCGTGATCGCCGCGAGGCGGTGCGCGGCGATGAGCACCGTGCGGTCGTCCGCCGCGGCGAGCGCGCGGAGCACGTGGCGCTCCGTCTCCGGGTCCGCGGCGGACGTCGGCTCGTCGGCGACGAGGAGCCGCGGGTCGCGGAGCAGCGCGCGCGCGACGCCGACGCGCTGCCGCTCGCCGCCGGAGATGCGGCACGCGCCCTCGCCCACGCGGACGGCCCGCGGGTCCGCGCCGCCGAAGGCGCCGCCGAGCCGCGCGGCGGCGAGCGCGGCGTCGACGGCGCCGTCGCCCGCGGCCATGTCGCCGAAGCGCACGTTGTACCAGACGGACTCGTCGAAGAGGCGCGAGTCCTGGGGCACGACGGCGAGCGCGGCCCGGAGGTCGGCCGGCGCCGCGTCGGCGACGTCGACGTCGCCGCGCGCGTACGTGAGCCGCGCGGCGCCGCCGTCGACGTTCACGAGCTTGGCGACGACGCGGAGCGCCGTCGACTTGCCGGACCCGGACGCGCCGACGAGCACCGTCGTCTTGCCCGGCGGCGCGAAGAACGTCGCGCCGTCGAGCGCGCGCGCGCGGCTCCCGTCGTAGGCGACCGCGACGTCGTCGAAGGCGACGCCGGGCGCGGCGGCGGCGTCGACGCGCGCCGCGGCGCCGCCGCGGCGCGCGTCCTCCGCGCGCCGCGCGGCGAGGATGTCCTCCGTGACGCGCATGTCGACGAGGCTCTGCCTGATCTCCGACGCCGTGTAGCCCAGAAAGTTCATGGGCTGCGCGAGCTGGAGCAGGAGCGCGTTCACGGCGACGACGTCGCCGAGCGTCAGCGCGCCCGGGTGTCGCGTGGCCTGGAGGAGGCAGCCGCCCAGGCCCGCGGAGAAGATCAACGCCTGGCCGACGTTGAGGAGCCCGTTGACCCGGGAGCTCGCGACGAACGCGCGGACCATGGACCGGAGGAAGTCGTCGAACCGCAGCGCCTCGACGGCCTCGCCGTTGAAGAGCTTGACCGTCTCCGTGCCCCCGAGCGAGTCGACGAGGTACGCGGACTTGGCGTTGTCCAGGGCGACGAGGCGCCGCTTCACGCGGACCTTGGCGTCGATGACCCGCGCGGTGAAGGCCGCGTAGGCGAGGAACGTCGCGACGGTGCCCAAACCGACGGACGCGCCGAAGCGGCGGCCGAGCACCGCCGCGGAGAGGCCGAGCTCGACGAGCGTCGGGAGCACCGAAAACAGGAGCTGGAAGAGCAGCGTCTGGAAGCCCCGCGCGCCCCGGGAGAACGCGACGGAGAGCAGGCCCGTCGGGTGCCGCGCGTGGAACGCCGGGCCCAGCGCGTGCAGGCTCCCGAAGAGCTCGCGCGCGTAGCCGCGGACGGCCTGCTGGCTCGCGTGCGCGTAGGTCAGCGACCGCGCCTCGGACGCCAACACGACGGCGACGCGCGCGCCGCAGTAGAGCGCCGTCGCGCGGACCGCCGCGGCCCGGTCGCGCGACACGAGGCCGTCGACGCAGCCCTGGAGGAGGAACGGCACGGACACCGTGAGCGCCTTGGCGGCGACGAGGCACGCGACCGAGGCGACGATCTGCAGCCGCGCGTTGCGCGGCGCCGTGGTCCAGGCGTGGCGCGCGACGGACCGCGCGACGGACGCCGCGCCCGAGGAGCCGCCGAGCGCCGGCGCCGCCGCGCCCGCGGCGCGGTCCGCCTCCGCCGCCGCGCCGCCGGCCGGCGACCGGTCGCCGACGACCTCCGGCAGCGACACGGGCGCGGGCACGCGCGCGTCCAAGGCCGACGCGGCGTCCCGGCGCGCCGGCGGCCGCGGCAGCCGCGCGAAGGGCACCCGCAGGGCGCCGGCGCCCCGCACTGCGACGAGCCACCACAAGAGCCGTCGCCCCGGCGACGCGCGCGCCGACGGCGGCGCCGACCGCCGCGCCGACGACCGCCGCGCCGACGACGGCCGCGCCGTCCTCACTGGTGCGCGCGCGCACGACGCCATGCCGCGCTCGAGGACCTCAAGTGCATCTTGGACATCAAACCGTTGTTGAAGCATAAACACACGAAGGCTACACGCGGGACCTCGTCGCGCGCCGCGCGCGACGCCTCCCAGCTCCGGGTCCTTAGCGGTGCCCGGCCTCAGAGCCCGCGCGCGCCGCGGATGGCGGCGTCGACGGCCCAGTCCGCGCGCGCGGCGAGGAGGTGGAGCGGCCGGATGCGGGCCGCGGCGGGCTTGAAGAAGACCTGGGCAGGACAAGGGTGATTCAACGTCGCTTCAACGTGAGTGTTCCGCGCGCGCGCGTTCCGGAAAAAGCATCCACGCTTCGAGACCGTTCCAAGAGATGATCGCTCGTCCAAAAATCAGCCGAAACGAGTGGAAAACGGCCGAGAGAGGAGCCTTTGAAGTTGGGAATTTCGCTCTCTTGTCCTGCCCTGAAGAAGACGCGCTCGCCCGTCGTCGCCGGGCGGCGCCGCGGCGGCTCCTCGCGGGAGAAGATGGTCCGCCGCGGCGGCGGCGACGGCACGAGGGGCCGGAGCACGGCGCTGTCGCCCGCGGGCGACAGGTGGACGTGCTTGTGGCGCCGCGACGCGGCGCGGTTCGCCGTCCTCGCGCGGCTCCCCGGCGCGAAGGCCGGGAGCGCGCGCGCGCCGTCGCCCGGCGCCCGCGGCGGCCGCGCCCCGGCGGAGGCCCCGGCGAGCGTCGACGCGGACCCGCGCGCGGGCGGCGCCGCGGCCGCGTCGAACGACGCGCGCGGCCGCGGCGGGCCCCGGCGGTCGCGGCCGAAGTCGCAGTAGAGCGTGCGCGCGCGGTGCACGTGGCGGCCGTCGGGCAGCGACCGGAGCTCCGGCGGCGACTTGACGAGCGCGGCGACGCGCGCGGCGTCGGCCTTGCGCCGCGCGGCCTGCACGTCCAGCGGCCGCGCGTCGCCGCGCGGGTCCCGCGGCGTCGGCCGCGCCCCGGGCGCCGCGGCGCCGCCCCGGGAGATGCGCGCCCAGGCGTCGCTCGGCGCGCACTCGTCGCCGTCGGACGCGTCGTCGTCGCCGTCGAAGAGGTCGCCGTCGACGTCGCCGGGGCACGCGCCGGCCGCGCGCGGCGCCCGGAGCCGCCGGATTCGTGGCTCGGCCGCTTCCGCGGCAGGCGCACGGGCGCGACCGCCTCCGTCCCGCCGAGCGCGAGCGCGCCGTCCCACGCGAAGCGCTCGAGCAGCAGCGCGACGAGCGACGGCTCCGG